ACATTTAATAATCCAACTATCATGTTAGAGTCAGTGATATATACATTGAACGTTCTAGTCATGGTGATTTTTAACAACAGCAGCAATAGTACTTACTGCTCACATACCACATACCACTTACCAGGAGTCTGGTACTGTGCTCAGGACTTAATGGGTTATGTCATTCCGTCTTCACAACAGCCCCTTGAAGGATGCACAGTTATTTGCTTCACAGATAAGAAAATTGAGAGTCAGATCGATTAAGTAGCTGAACAGTCATATACGCAATATGTGTTAAGTCAGAGCTCCGATTCAAATCTGCTCAACAGCAGGTCCCAAGCTTTTCACTGCATTTCACAAAAGCCTTCATTCCACAATCTAACTCATACTAACAGATTAAAAAAAAAAAAGAGTTCTGAGCCCAATGAAAGCGCACACACACAGATCCTTTCAAGTTTTATTTATATTTCTCAGTTCAAGAATTACACACTAGCCAACACTATTGTATATTTACATGCTGAAACGGACTGTAGTAAGTTTAAATTCAAGAAAAATAACTCTTATGTGCTACTCATTGATAATCCTCATTTGTTACTATCTCATGTATCCCAGAGATTTTTAGTAGTCCTGTTTTTAGAAAGACGTGAAAATAGATGCAATGATATCCACTTGTGTTCTGCATTTTCTAGCCGTTGGAAAAATGTGCATTCTCTGCATATTCAGAAAGGCTACAAGGTAATTAGTAAGGCTGATAATCACTACATTGTGAGGAAACTAGAATATCACTTTTTATAAAAGGACAATTCGGAACTGTGCAGGGACAATATCCAAAACAGAACTGTTCAAACACCCATGTAAATCAAGATGAAAAGTGTTATGGAATGTAAATTATTTGCCACTTTGAATCATGTTAAAAATGAGCATGGCTGAACGTAAATGACTGAACTGTAAGGGGAAAGATACAAGCTGATAGAAGCATCACCTTGCATCAGACGGTGGAAGGACACACACACAGGCATCTGGTTAGTGGACGCATGACAAGAGACGTTTGCTTTTGGAAGTTAAAAAACACAAAGTCTTGTTTTTTTTTTTATCATTGGATCATATTTGTCTATCACAAAAGAACTTCTTGAAGAAAATTAATATCTGATGTCCAAATTTTGCATGTATCTACAGAAATGTTTTACGTCAATATCCAAAAAGCAAACAGATGTTTAAGAGTACTGCTGTGTTTAAGTATTGTTTTCTGAAATGATTTCGTTAGGGTAGTATGTTAACCAGCATCATGTTGGCTGTACTGTTTTTTACAATGTTCCTAGTGTTCTTGGAAAATGTTTTTTAAACCTTTGGTTTGAAGCAGTGTCTTTTTTTTTCCATTTTCCCTCATTTTTCTTTTTTTCTTTCCTTTTTTGTTTTTTAAAGAATTCTGGAGTCTTTGGTTGAAAGGAACAATACTACCTAAAGACAAAAATGCTATTACTTAAAAAAAAAAAGGTCTTCCAGTATGCACTGTATGTAACAAATTTCTGGAGTGAGTGTGAATAATAAGCATTTTTATTTCTCTTGTGTCATCAGTATAGACTTTTCCTCTTTGAAAATTGAGATTTAAGTTACAGCCTTTGGTTTCTTGAACTCTGACGTGTAAAAAACCTTCTCAAGTAATCAATGATCATTTCTGCTTCTCCCGGTTGCCATTTCTAAGGCTCTCTCTTGGTTGTTATATTCACTACATGAACACTGTGTGTTTCCCACAGAGGGAGCAAGAATGGGAGTGAGCAGGCAAGGGAAAGAGTATTGTGTTGGAATGTGAGTGTGAGTGTTTGAGAGTGTGTGTGTGTGTGTGTGTGTGTGTGTGTGTGTGAGAGAGAGAGAGAGAGATAGCAAACTGAAACCCTTCGATCTGGGATCCCAAACCATTTATGCAAAAGGATGTTTAAAGTACTCTGTTGGGGCACTGCAGTAATTGTACTTAGTAAAAAATAAATAAATATTAAGAAAAAAACTAAACAATCATTTGTATCTATTGACTATTCATTTACAGCATGTTTAATTATTTACATAATATCTGAACACATCAACTTAAGCCATGAACAGAATTCCCACATTGCCTTACCATAAAATACAAATTAGAAGTTAAAAATAGGTAAGAAATCTGTTTGGATATTTACACACACGCAGCGAATGTCATGATTGCTCACGTTACACGGATTCTACTGTACACTCAGCAAAATGGCGTGATTGCTACAGTCGAGAGTGTTTGCCCTAACCAACGTGGCGGGGGTTTGTTATTTTTTTTTCCCCTCCTCCTAGAAGGATTTTTAAAAATCGTTTTCTGTTTCTTTAAGACATTTTTGTTTTTCAATCACCAATGGACAATGTTATTTGTTTCCTAGAAAAAGAGAGCGAGGAGACAAGCAACGCGAGAACTAGTTAATTTCGGATGTTCTGAGGTATAGTACAGACTGTGCAATGTTTCTTAAAAGTGGAGGCATTGACTTGCTGATAGAGAAATGCTCAGTACCCTGTATCACTTGTTTCAGCATGTTGATTTGTGGGTTGTCAAATTAAAAAGACTCATACGCTGGTTTGATGAAGGAAATGAAAGACATTAGCTTATCCCTTTTGTTTTCCAACATATGAATGCATATATATGTATGTATGTTTACATGGATATATACACATATATACATGGAGATTGTTGTATGACATGTTGTTTGTTCACTGTTTTGCTGTTTTTGTTGTTGAGTATGAAGTTAACCACAAAACTGTAACACAGTTACCTACAGAAAATGAAAATCGTCTTAGTTGCCAATTTAATGCAGGTCTTGCTTAAAATAAACCTGATTCATTTTCCCGTTTTGCTTTCCACTGAACTTTCTCTGTGTGTTGTGCTTTTTTAAGCTGGCAGGCTTTTTTGTTCTGTTTTGTTTTGTTTCTAATGCTAGAAGATAAAGTCTTTTGGCTCATAGGCCATTTTAATTATCATTATTTTGAACCGAGCACTGCTTTTGAAGAGATGAGAAGAGGAACGGTCTAGATGGCCCTGATCATGTCTTTTCCTGTTAGTAAACTGCAGTGGGAAAAGGGTTACATTCCCTATGCAAACACATGATCATGTTGCATGAGTTTTCAGTTCTGAAAATGCATTTCATACCTAATAGCAGTCATGTACAATATATATTTACAGATTGAGATCAAAGATTTCACTTAGACTGTGCATTTTAGAGTCAGAATTTGCCTATGAATTTCGCAAAGATGAAAAAACACCTTAATTGCTGGCTATTGGCTATTTTTCAATCAAAAGACAAACCATATGTATGTGTATAAACTGAGAGTAATAGCATATCAGAATTGTGAAAACATGTTTTTGTGGTCCTTAAATTTAACCACTGGATCGCTAGCTGACTGGTCTTTGTGGACTTATGAGATCGAACACCCCTTCTTGAGCTCCCCACCCCCAAGTCCCATTCAAGCATCGTAAAAACGTAGTTTAAGGGTCAATTCTATATCTACTTTTGGTTACCTCTGAGCAGGATGAGTCAGTTGTTTCTAACTACATGGTTATTGAATGCCGACATGTGGATTTGGCTCTAGGGCATCTGTTCCAAGGTCCCACCTTCTCTCCTTTTCCTAGTTTCTTCTTACCACTGAGAGCAGAAACGAATCCCTGGTTATATGTTTTGAATGCTCCTGCTGGGAGGTTGCTTCTTTCCATTCTGATCTAGAGTACTCTGTTCACTTCTCTGGATGTCAACTCTTTAAGTGACCATATCAAGGATTTTTATGGCTTTTACAATAATTGCAAATAAGAGCCCACTTCTAAACTTGGGCTCTGGGTTGTCTCTAGAGAAACCATTCCAGAATGGCATTTTGGAGTTGTGCACCTGAGTTATTAATAGGCTCCTTCCTGATGTATGCCACTCAAACTTTAACCCTGGTGACAAGCGGTGGGCACTTTTGTTAGTGATGCCCCCAGATCATTGCCTTGGAGAAAGCGTGTCCCTGGAGAAACTTGAAGAATCTCTACTCTGAGCATGGGCGGAAATGTGGTTGGATTCTGCCCAAAGATCAGACTCAGAGGTGTTCAAGTTTATGATAAAAAAATAAAGGCCATAGTCCCTGATGCCAGTGGGGAGCAAAAAATACTACCCAGTCTTGAGGCAAATTCAGAAAGCTAAGTACTAAACTTTTTTGCTCTTCTTCTTCTCAGATACTTGGAATAGAGGGCAGTAGGATTCCACCATATTCCAAGCAGCTGAATCATCAGGGGAAAAGCGTAACATTTCATCTATGGGCAGATACTGGCTTTGGCTACTATGCACAATTCGGAATATTACTCTGAAAATAAGTGGTTTTTGTTTTATAAGTAGAAATAGCAAAGTCATCCTCCAAGAAAAAGTTCAATCAAATCAGAGTTTAAAGATAATTTAGCAATTCACTCTTTCCTCCATGAACCTCATATTGATAGAAATAAAATGTATTAGCTTATTCTCTTTACTGTCCAACATATGAATGCATATGTTGGAAGATGCACAATGACATAATTTAAACATTGAATGAAAATAACACATCATGCCCACCTGATTATCAGTTAGATATTTTTTCTGCAGTATCAACTGAGGTTCATAATCTTCATCAAGTTAACGTGGTTTTCTTGTTACCCTGTTGTCCACTTGTTTTCCTATTTTCCTTGATTAGGGAGATTGCAACATACCACAATGAAAGCAACCTTAAGAAAATAAAATTCAACAAATCCACAAACTGACTCTACTTGTGCACCTAATCTTTGAAGTATTGTTTGCTATGAAAAATATCGAGGTGAACTTTATTGCACATAAGGAAATGGAGTTCACTCAATCTCTCCAAAGCCTTACTTTTTCTGTCTTTAAGAATATAATCAGAATTTCAGAAGCAAGAAAAGCTGGAAAGAACCATTAATCCTTTACAGAAATGAACATATCCTTCTTTTGAAACACCCTATTAAAGTCAGAAATAAACTTATAGGGAAAAAATGTTGCAGAGACAGCAGACGTGAAAAAAAACAACAACAAAAAAACAAGACCTGTCTGCTCACATTGTGTGGAATCTACATTAGTATTTTTGGGTAACGCTCAATCTAACCTACCTCTAAGACAATTCTAATTTGGCTAGCTTTTCTCTTGTGTGGATGTCTTTGAATTAGATAAACTATACAAGTTTCTATAGGTATGCTGTCAAAGCTCGTGAAATTGGAAAAAAAAATCTTTTGTTCTACCTTTTGCTATTGCTCACGATATGTGCAGACCAGATGCTGTGCGGGCTCAGAAAGGCTCTGATGCTTGCTTGCTTTAATGTTGTTACAACAGTCATTTCTGGATTTTCCACTCTGCCCTGGGTTTTGAACTCTCCTTGGAGCCAACTAGGAAACAGCATTTTCAAATAATTTCTTTGGCTGTCATGCATGAAAGTGTTTAGAATTCTCCTGATCTCTAATGTCAAAATGGAAGATGTCACAACTGACTCTTTAAGAGCTCAAGCAATCTGAAATTGGCCAAGTTGGTTTCTTGACTCTCTGTCTTGACTCCGTCTATCCTGTTTGAACTACATGAGAATGTTCTAGAAGCCAGTGGGAATTACCTTCCCATGGCACCACTATCATCATAATGAGACAGGCACAGAGCACCTTCCGTAAGCGTGTCCGCGTGGCACTGAGGGCGATGTTTCTGAAGCATGCGGCCGTTGCAGCAGCATGCCAACCTCAGGAATGACGATGGCAGGTTCTGGATGGGACCACTTCTCAGTGGAATGACCGACAGTGCTAGTGAGCCTTCTAAGAGAATCTTCTAAATAATTCCCCTCTGTGTCGGCTGCATACTAAGCGGATAAAGTGGAACGCTCAGACCCAGTCTTGCCAGCGAGTGGGCAAATCACTTGCGTTTTAACTGGAAAACCACAAGGACCTTACTGTATTCATTACTTAGCAGAAGCAACCCCAATGGTATGAAATGGACCACAGGATAGGCCAGCAACTAAGGTATTTAAGCATCACTTTTGTCCTGGGTTGATGTGTTTTCCAAGTCCTATTGTCAGGCTGTACAACTGGTTTGAGGAGGAATCTAGTCCTTGCTTCCTGCGAAGGCTGTGTTTTAGTTCACATAGTAAAGCCAATAGACGATGTTGAAGAAGGAAAAAACCACTGGGAAGAATATGCGGGACCACCGATCTATGGCATTCACATCAGTCAAGTCGGGGATGGTGATTTTCAGTTGGGAGGCACGTCTCCGCAGGCGGCTTTTCTTCTGCGCCACGTGTCGTTCCAGGGCATTTCGGCCAAAACTATGCCTGGGCAGCCCGGCTTTCCGATACTGAATGCCGGAGGCATCATAAGCCAACATGGTGCTCCTGGGGTCTCCAAGACCCATCACGGCCTCAGATGTGGCCATCTCATTTTTTATTTCAAGAGTGCTCAGTAAGATGTTCTCATGTGGGTCCATCTGCAAGGGAGAAGAATCAAGTAAGATGAAACAATAACGCTTTATTGATGTTCATTATATAAGGAAGCTATGATATATAGGTTAGGCAGCAGAGTCTACTCTTGAACAACATGGTTTCTAACTGTGTGGGTTCACTTGTACATGGATTTTTTTTTCAATAAACATCCATACTGTTTCAATCTGAGGTTGAGATCTGTAGATGTGGAGGGCCAACTGCATGCTCTGATCTTGAGATCTGGGGGGATCTGAAGGGGTCCTGGAACAAATCCCCACAGCTACCAAGAGACAGCCTAAGTTTAGGGGAAGTCAAAAGTCCGACATGGATTTTCAACCACCCTAGGGTCAGTGTGCCTAACCCCTGTGTTGTTCATGGGTTGCCTCTGTATCATAGCGGTGAAGAGAACTGGCTTTGTGGTTACCCTCCTAAAGCTGAATTGTGGTTCTGCCACTACAGCCTAGGTGAGTTTAAGTTTCCTCATCTATTAAATGGTATGATAATCTAACCTTGGAAGATTGTTATAATGATGCAATGATATAAAAATTGTTGCTGGTACAAATTTCATTATTTCCACTTAGAAAATGCAGAGACATAGAAGGCATGATACCCTTTAAAGAACTGATAGTCTTGAAACTAATATATAGAACACATATTAAACTGTACTAGATATAAAATAATAATTATTAGAGAATTAACGACTGAATTTCAGTGCTCACAATAGTAGCCTAATTACAGATGAATCCAAGGGAAACCTAGAACTAAAAACAGCAGGTAACATTTATTAAGAACTTGCTATATATGCCAGAAACATTTTTGTATAATTTCATTTAGTTGATGCTTCTTAACATCCACCATTACAAGATGCCACCTTACATTTGTAGTGTAATATGAATAAGAGAAAAAGTTTTTAAATGCAGGCAGAGTGGGATTTGTCAAAATGCAATAGAATTCAGAACACTGAGGAACTGGGAAAGGCGGCCAGGCAGACTGTGGGCGGTGGGGTGGTGGGCGGGTAAGGGGTGAGGGGCTGACCTGGGAGTGGAAAAAGGGGGCCAGCAGGATTTGAGAAGAGCCAGCCCAGACTGCCTGTGCTGAGCTGAATTCTGGGCTTAGGGAACAGAATCAAGGTGGCTGTGCAGATAGGGTGACCCTTTTCTCTCTCGGATGATTTTTTTCTTGGCCAAACTAGAAGTGAAGGATCAATACTGACATCATGAATCCCAAAGATTAAGTGATTTGTAATTTTTAATTTTTTTAAAGAAGGGATGATTTGTGTGTCTTATTTTTAGAAGGCCTCTGTGGTTACAGATGATAAAACCTATCTACAACATGTTGTTATTAATAATAGATTATTTTGGTGGAGAATCAGGAAATACCAGTTTCCAGTAAAATTTTGAAATTATAAAATAGGAGAAAAATAGCCCATGATAGGTGCGGGTGACGAATGGAAGCAGGGATCATAACCAAACACTTAATTGGGAGATATAATGCTCTGAGCTTCATGAATTATGCAGAAGGCAGAAAGAATGTTGCTGAGATTATATACTATCAATTAGCTTTCAAATTTGGTTTAATGATGCTGTATTATAAATTCAAATCTGAAATCTTTGGAGAAATAGAGGCTATAAAATATGTTGAGTCATAATAACTGCGCCATTAATCTCTGCCCAATGATGAGACATCGTGTATGTTTGGTTTATGGCAGTAGGTTGCTTAGTGGAAACGTTAAACAAATATATTACTAAGAATAATTTTAAAAGTTTATAAAATTTGGAAATTAAACCCAATAAATGTTGAAACATGTCTGTCACGCAAGGGCTGAGTAAGGATGGGCTTGGTGGCCCTATGGAAGAAAGGAATATTGAAAACCACATTTATATGTCAGTACTTTGCTGAAACAACCTCACTGGATACTCAAAAGCATCCTTTGAAAAGAATTTCTTTCCTAGGTCATAAGTGAAGCCATTCACCAAATTTCCAAAGTAACGTAGTTTACTGAATGGTGGAGCTGGAAGTCAAACTTCAGTCATTAGAGTTCAAAGTCTGGGGGAGAGGACTGGGACTTTCCAACATCCAAGGAGAGTAAAGCTGATGGAAATGGGAACCCTACTATCTACCGCTGTTCATTTCACGTAGCGCACTCACTTTCTGTCCTGCCCTGGGCTGTTACCTGTTATTGTAACTACCTAAGAGATGGCAATACAGTCACTATGCATGCTGATATTTGGGAGATTTCCCCTCTCTGAGCACCAGGCTATTTGTTTTTCCATTGAGCAACTGTAATAAGAACATTTATGAACACACGGCAGACTTGACTGGGGTAAAAACATAAATCAATAATGACAATCATGAAAAAATAATAGGAATATTATTAAGGGAAACTTGTTCTAAGTTTAGAACAAATGATTCTTGAATAATTTGTTTAGATTTAGAGTTTCTGTTTCATTATCTTTGAAATTGATGATGTGTCAGAGGAGGTAACTCCTGAAGCTGTTATTGTTTGCTTATTTTTTCATTTACCAATTTAAAAGCCTTTACTGAGCACCGCTGTGTGTCCGGCTCTGCGCCCAGGATCACTGCTGCCCTGGAGGGGGAGACAGCACAGCTGCTGGGCCGGCAGCAGCCACAGTCCCTGGGGACAGTGTGGGTCGGAGGTCAAAAGATAGGAGTTCCGGTTCCTCTGCTTGTGTGTGCATGTGTGTGCCTCGGAAAAATGACTTAATCCCTCTGAATCTAGATTTCTTCAACTGTAAGAAGAGGGTCTGGGGAGATCAACTGAGGGGGCATGTGTGGGAAGAATGTGGGAAATGAAAGCGCTATGCTGAGTTATGTGTTAGGGTATGTCGTGAACGCAATGGGACAGGCACAGCTTCCAGTGAGGTGGGGAAAGACAGCGAACAGCTATGCCTAGAAGAAAAGTGAGCACATTGACCTTGCAGTGTGTCTAAGATAGACATGGGAGATGAGCTTCCTGTCGGTAAACACTGCACGAGGTCTCTACAGGCTGAAATGGGAGTGTGGTAGTGTGGGGTGAGCCTCCTACGTGTGACCCTCTCTGAATGAGGGCAGTGTGCACGCCCACTGAGCCGGCTGTTCTCCTGGGGAGGTGGAGGGGCTTCTCTGCTGACTGCAGTTACCTTCCAGACTCACCCACATGCTGATGGTTCTAATGGCAAATCCACATTAAACATTTGGATTAAGAGGTTTCCTTTTCCTTCTTTCTATTCCCCACCCTAATACAGTTCCCCCAAAGAAAAGAAGAATGCTTGGTTAACAGAGTTCCATTTTGTTTAAAAGATACTGAATCGAACAATAAAGGGTGAACCTTATTTTTTTTATATGGTATTTTTTAAATTCCAGGGCTGTTTCATTTTCTGTGCCTTTCCCAGTGACAGATTATGCTCTGGAGGAATGTCTTTGTCCTATAGTCATATGCAGACAAGCAAATCACATCCTTCAGTGACCCAGAAGCATCGCAGGCTTGCCCTGGGAAGGGAGAATGGGGCTGTTTTAAATCTCAGTTCATCACTCACATCATCAGAAGAAGAGTGAGACACTGCAAAAATCCAAAACATCTTCACAGTGCAATTTCGATGACTGTGCTAGTGTGTGGGAGGGAGATCTTGTTTTTCTCCCATGCAATCACCTTGTGACCTGAATAACTTGAAATGTTAAGGCAATGAACTGTTAACCACCTGGGAAGGTCCAAAGCATTCTTTCCAAAGGAAAAACTCTGAAACTAGCTCATACGCATCCAGTATTCTAAGAGGAGAAGGTTCACCCCACTGGAATATGGCCCAGAGATTGTAGGACAGCAAGAGAAGGCCACCAGCTTTGACTTTGCGAATCTCTCTACCCAAGTAAGTGCAGAAATAGTAACTACATATGGAGTTTAGAACGGGAATGTAAATAAATACAGGAGAACACCTACTGAAATACCCAGGTAGTTACAGGAAGCTGGTCATTTTAAATAAAAACCAGTAGAAATAATAAAAAGCACTGAGATTGTCACTCTGCCTTTTTTTTTTGTTTCTACCATGAAAGCTCATGGCCATATTATGAGGATGGAGTTAGAACTATTAGCATTTCGTAAACAACCCTTTCCATTAAAATCTGGAAGTTCACAGGTAGTTAAAAGCTATTTAAGTGGTAAAGCAATAGTTTAAACTTGTGTGTGCAGATTGGAACCTTCAACTCTTTCTACTAAATATTTTCATCCGAGGGGGACCCACCTATACAGTGGGCAGCGGGGGCTGCCAGGTATGAACAACCTAGTCGTTGTTGTTTGATGGTCAATTTTAAATTCTCATGGGTAGATCACATTAGTACATGTCCCAAGGTTTCCTTAGGAAAATGATTCCCTGTTAAAGATTCAAATTAATGAATTCATTCATTATGCACCAGTGACCGGGATGGCCCTATTGTATAAGTCATTGCAAGGTCAAAATATTCTGCTTCAGACACACAAGAAACCCCCCTTGGCCTAGTGGGCGAATCAAATGAGCTTGGTGAGGTTTTAAGCTATCATTCTAACAAGTGATAGTGAAGCGTTCAGAGGAAGTAAGAGGTAAGAAAGACTCGACTGAGATTTCTCTCTCCAAAGGGCCCCAGGAGATGAGGTTTTTCTAAAGGTCATGATTGATTCAGGACCAGCAGTGAGAAGACATTCGGTAAGCTTGAGCTGTCCAGTGAGGGACACACCTGCTCTTTTTGGTCCGGCTTCCCTGGGTCCCTCCCTGCCCATCTAACATCCACAAGCAGAGTGGAAGGATCACTGGCTCCAGAGATGAGAGCCGGTTCTAATCCTGGCTTACTCTGAGCCTTGGTGCCCTTCATCTAGAAAATCTAGGTGGATTCAGGGAGGTTTGGACTAACTCCCTTCACCGGCTTATGTCCTCTTGCTAGGGCCTCACTGAACCCTTGATTCCCTTATGATGGCAGACGTGTGGGCAGGGACTATGCCCTGTTGCTGTATCCCCAATACTGACCGCTACAGTGGGTA